TAACAGACCAACGAGTTGCCTCACTCATACCCCTCCCGCTAGACTAATACGTGTAAGTGGACTTTACAACACCAAAATCGAATGACAATACTGAAAAAATGGAAGAAGGGGAGGAGGAAGGAAGGAATAAAGAAAGGAAGGAAGGAAAAGGAAAAGAGGAAGAAAGGAAAGGAAAAGAGGAGGAAGAAGGGAGAAGGAAAAAGGAAAAGAAGGAAGGAAGGAGAAGGAAAGAAAGGAAGAAGCAAGGAAAGAGAGAAGGAAAGAAAAAAGAAGGAAGAGAAGAGGAAAGAGAGAAGGAAAAAAGATAGGGAAAATTAAAAGGAATTCAGGAATTAAATAAAGAAAAAAAAGTAAGGAATACATAGTTAGATTAAGGCTAGAGAAGGTTATAGATTGCGTTTGATTTCCTCCCCTAAAATGTAATGAAGTATAAATTAAATAAAATATTGAAGTGAGTAAATAGTATATCTTTAATATTGAACAAGAAAATTTGTAATTAAAGTTTTTATATAAGGAATTAATGAATAGAATTAAATGCAACAAATCTCTTAATACCTATTTATTATAAACAATTCAATTAAAATAACAATGGTGACGTACTAAATTATATATAATTAATAATTTAGCAATAAATACTTCATCTAAGTCATTAATAATATATATATAATAAAATAATAAAATTCAAAATTAAGAAACTAGTATTAGTATGAATTAATTAATTATATAAGTACATAAACAATTTCATAAACTTTATCAAGTGAAGTAATTGACATTCAAGTCCAATTATATACACTGGCATAATGAAACAGCAAAAATCTACATTTATTATTAAGCCAAAATCAAGTTGATTATTAAATAGTATACTATTTACAGGAGCTGCTCCATTATTAAAATAAAGTTTAATTTAATATTTATATAATAATTATTATATAATTAAAGATAAAATTTAATTAACTTAATCTTTAGCTATTAATATATAATTAAATTTTTATATATTTATTTAATTAAATACAGAAATTATATATATTAAGATACAAATAAACATCATATTAAAATAACAATGTCTAATTCCAGAACCGTATTATATAAGTAATTAATATATAATGAATTAAACATGATTTATACTATAATCCTTAATTATACTCCTTAACGAAAGAGGGAAGGAAGAAAAGGTAGGAAGGAGGGAAAGAAGGAGAGAAAGAGGGAGGGAAGGTTGCCCACAGCAACGTGTGGCGGGTACAGTTAATAATAATAATAAAATAAACTTTTATAAGGAAATAGTAAGAAAAATCATGTTACATAGTGCAACTGAAAAAGGTTTCCACTCCAGCCATCTCAAAGGGTCAACCTACTTGTCAAGCTCCCGGCGGCGATTGGTCCCATGAGGCCCATCAGCACGATGCTCACCGACATGTACTTGCCGTATTTGTGCCGTCGGAGGGTGAAGAGGCCCAGCAGCCCCGCCGGGATGTGGAAGAAGAGGGAGGAGACCAGGGCCCAGAGGAAGACCCCATACCACATCTCTGCAGCAAAGAGGAGAGAAGCACAGAGAGATGATGCCAATGGAAAAGCACCTAAAATGCAAAGTCCAAAACACCTAGAAGGCTGATATTTGTCCATGCCTGATCTAGACCAAGGGAAGTCATAGTGTCACTCTATTCTGCTTTGGCCAGACCTCTTGATCTGGAATAACAACCCCAAGTCCAGTCTCTCTCCTGAGGAGTCTGTACAAGGACCAAGTAGCAACAGTAAGAACTGACCACGGAACAACAGACTGGTTCAAGAATGGGAAAGGCGTACGGCAAGGCTGCATCCTCTCACCCAACCTTTTTAACTTGTATGCAGAACACATCATGCGATGTGCGGGGCTTGATGAATGCAAAGCTGGGGTGAAAATTGCTGGAAGAAACATTAACAACCTCAGATATGCAGATGACACCACTCTGATGGCCGAAAGCGAGGAGGAGCTGAGGAGCCTTCTAATCAAGGTGAAAGAAGAAAGCGCAAAAGCCGGGTTGCAGCTAAGCATCAAAAAAACCAAGATTATGGCAACAAGAATGATTGACAACTGGGAAATAGAGGGAGAAATTGTGGAGGCCGTGACAGACTTTGTATTTCTGGGTGCAAGATGACTGCAGATGCAGACTGTGGCCAGGAAATCAGAAGATGCTTCCTTCTTGGGATGAGAGCAATGTCCAGTCTCGATAAAATAGTAAAGAGTAGAGACATCAGACTGGCAACAAAGATCCATTGCCTGGTCAAAGCCATGGTCTTCCCTGTAGTCACCTACGGATGTGAGAGCTGGACCTTAGGGAAGGCTGAGCGAAGGAAGATCGATGCTTTTGAGCTGTGGTGCTGGAGGAAAGTGCTGAGAGTGCCTTGGACTGCGAGAAGATCCAACCAGTCCATCCTCCAGGAAAGAAAGCCCGACTGCTCATTGGAGGGAAGGAGACGAGAGACAAAGTGGAAGTCCTTTGGCCACATCATGAGGAGACAGCAAAGCCTAGAGAAGGGAATGATGCTGGGGAAAGTGGAAGGCAAAAGGAAGAGGGGCCGACCAAGGGCAAGATGGATGGATGGCATCCTTGAAGTGACTGGACTGACCTTGAAGGAGCTGGGGGTGGTGACGGCCGACAGGGAGCTCTGGCGGGACTGGTCCATGAGGTCACGAAGAGTCGGAGACGACTGAACGAATGAACAACAACAACATTGACACAAGATTTGCTTTATGAATTTCACTGCTGTATTTGTATGCTGTTGTTTTGTTGGTGGCCTTGACCTTTGTAAGTCGCATCGAGTCCTTCGGGAGATTTTGCGGGGTATAAATAATGATAATAATATTAATAATAAAAGATGGAAGTGGTCCAGAGGAAGAGGGCGACTAAAAGTATCAAAGGTGTGAAGATCATGAATAATCCTTATGAGGAGTGGTTTAAAGTGCTGGGTAAGTTTAGCCTGCAAAGAGAAGGCTGAGAGGAGACATGAGAGCCATGTCTAGATACCTTGGGGGTCTCTTCCAACCTTGTGATTCTAATTCACGGTGGCCTCTGCCGGGAGGGCTTTGAGGGTGCCTTTCCTGCATGAAGGCCGAAGGGAACTGGCTGGCCTTTGAAGTTCTCTTCCAACTGACTCCAATTCTCTACGAATTCTCCATAGTGTCTATGAGGCTGGATGCCCATCTGTCAGGAGGGCTTTAAGTGTGCCTTTCCGACATGAAGGCAGAAGGGGGCTGGCTTGCCTTTCACTCTAATTCTCTTTAACTCTAATTCTCCACGAATTCTCCAAATTTCTATGAGTCTGGATGGCCACCTGTCAGGAGGGCTTTCCTGCGCATCCTTTGAGGTTTACTTCCAACCCTAGAGATTCTCATTCTCTACAAATTCTCCATAGTGTCTATGAGGCTGGATGGCCATCTGTTGTGAGGGCTTTGAGGGTGCCTTTCCTGTACGAAGGTAGAAGTTTGGACTGGATGGCCTTTGAGGTTTTCTTCCAACCCTAGGATTCTCATTCTCCACAAATTCTCCATAGTGTCTATGAGGCTGGATGGCCATCTGTCGGGAGGGCTTTGAGGGTGCCTTTCCTGCATGAAGGCAGAAGTAGGCTGGCTTGCCTTTGAGAGTCTCTTCCAACTCTTTAACTTTAATTCTCCACAAATTCTCCTAATTTCTAGGGATGGCCATCTGTCAGGAGGGCTTTGAGGGTTTCTTTCCTGCATGAAGGCAGAAGGGGACAGGCTTACCTTTGAGAGTCTCTTCCAACTCTTTAACTCTAATTCTGCACCAATTCTCCTAATTTCTATGAGTCTGGATGGCCATCTGTCGGGAGGGCTTTGTGGGTGCCTTTCCTGCGTGAAGGCAGAAGGAGATTGGACTGGATGGCCTTTGGGGGTCCCTTCCAAGCCTAAAACGCCACCTCCCAGGCTTGGGCCTACTCCCGCCAGTAGGAAGGTAACTCCCACAATTGTGGGAGTTGAAGTCCAAACCCCCTGGGGGGCGGGCCCAAGTAGGCCCAAGCTTGGGCCTCCTCCCGCGCATGCGCAGAACCGCGCGGCCTACCTGAGAACTGGCAGAGGGTCCTGGGGCAAGCGGCTCCGGTGAGGTTCCCCGGCGGCGGGACCAGGCGGAGGCTCAGGATCTGCTGCAAGAGCCCGCCGGGCTCGGGATTCCCATCGCCGCCATCCGCCATGCCGCTTCCCTCAACCTCAACACTCTAGACGTCATTTCCGCACCAACTTCCGGTCCATATTCCCCTCTCTAGGCCCACTTCCGGCCTTTCTCTATAGTCGAGAAGCGGAACTTCCGCTTGAGCCAGAGAAGCCTGAATCCCAGAGGTGGAGAGAGCCATGTCGGACTCGGAGGAGTACTCTTCCTCGGAGGATGAGGACTATTTACCCTCAGGTGAGACTTTTCAAGAGAAAGAGAAGGAGGAGGAGGAAAAGGCCTTGGCTTTCCCCACCAGCTAGGCCTCACTCCTGGCTGTGAGGAAGGCCTGGGCATCCATTCAAGGCCCCTGCAAGTAGAAAGGGAGCAGCACAGGCCCATCGTTGGTGTGGGTCTGGGTTTATCTGGTTGGAGGTGAGGTACAGCTCCCAAAACTCAAAGTCAATCCTTCCCAAGCTTTTCCAGGAATCAAATTTCGGCCTATGAGCTTTGTGGGCCGCTTGGGTGTGACCCTGGACTCATCGCTGAGCCTGGAACCCCAGGTTTCGGGGGTGACCAGGGGAGCATTTGCACAGCTAAAGCTTGTGCGCCAGCTGCGCCCGTACCTTGGGAAGTCTGACTTGGCCACGGTAGTCCATGCTCTGGTTACATCCCGTTTAGACTACTGCAACGCTCTCTATGTGGGGTTGCCTTTGAAGACAGCTCGGAAGCTCCAACTAGTCCAACGCTCGGCAGCCATGATTTTAACAGGAGCGGAGCGCAGGGAGCATACAACCCCCCTGTTGCGCCAACTCCACTGGCTACCGATCTGCTACCGGGCTGAATTCAAAGTGCTGGCGTTGGCCTTTAAAGCCCTAAACGGTTCCGGCCCAAGCTACCTATCTGACCGCATCTCTGCCTATGAACCCACCAGGACTTTGAGATCTTCCGGGGAGACCCTGCTCTCGATCCCGCCTGCTTTTCAAGCTCGGCTGGCGGGGACGAGAGATAGGGCCTTCTCGGTGGTGGCTCCTCGGCTGTGGAACGCCCTTCCTACGGACATTAGACTAGCACCATCTCTAATGGTATTCCGCAAAAAGGTGAAGACCTGGATGTTTGTGCAGGCGTTTGAGTAATTTAGTGCAATCTGGTAATGGAACATAGGAATGGAACAATGGACGATGAACCTGGACTACGCTTGGATGATGAGAAGATTGGGTACAGTTGTTTTTTGATAATTGTGCATTGTAATTGCTTATTGGTAATTTATGGATAATGTGTTAAGTCAATTTTTATATGTTGTATGGAACCACTGCTGTTTCTACTGTTTTTACTGTTTGTGAACCGCTGTGAGTCGCCTTCGGGCTTGAGATACAGCGGTATATAAGCAAAGTAAATAAATAATAGTTTGGTCCAGATCCAACAACAACAACAACACTTTATTTATATTATTTATTTACTTTATTTATTTACTTTACTTGTATACCGCACTCTCTCAGCCCGTAGGCGACTCAGATGAGGGCGAACAAATTGAAGTTGAATCCAGACAAGCAGCGGTGCCCAGGGGAGCATTTGCACAGCTCAGGCTCGTGCGCCAGCTGCGCCCGTACCTTGGGAAGTCTGACTTGGCCACGGTAGTCCACGCTCTTGTCACATCCCGCCTAGACTACTGCAACGCTCTCTATGTGGGGCTGCCCCTGAAGACGGCCCGGAAGCTGCAATTAGTCCAACGCGCGGCAGCTATGATTCTAACAGGAGCGGAGTGCAGGGAGCACACAACCCCCCTGTTGCACCAGCTCCACTGGCTGCCGATCTGCTACCGGGCCCAATTCAAGGTGTTGGTATTGGCCTATAAAGCCCTAAACGGTTCCGGCCCAAGATACCTATCTGACCGCATCTCGGCCTATGAACCCACCCGGACTTTGAGATCTTCCGGGGAGGCCCTGCTCTCGATCCCGCCGGCCTCTCAAGCACGGTTGGCGGGGACGAGGATAGGGCCTTCTCGGTGGTGGCTCCTCGGCTGTGGAACGCCCTTCCTGTAGACGTTAGGCTGGCACCATCTCTCATGACATTCCGTAGAAAGTTGAAGACCTGGATGTTTGTGCAGGCGTTTGAGTAATTCAGTGCAATTTTGGTAATTTGAACATAGGAACGGAACAATGGACGAACGAATTTGGATCACACTTGGATGATGAGGCGATTGGGGATGGGATTTGTGATAATTGTGTATTGATGATTGTTTATTAGTTATTAATGGATATGTGTAACTTAACTGTAATTGTATATTAGTTATTGCTGTTTTTATTGCCTTTGCTGTTTGGAAACCGCTGTGAGTCGCCCCCGAGCTTGAGATACAGCGGTATACAAGAATAGTAAGTAAATAAATAAATAAATAAATAAATAAATAATAAAACAGTAACTAAGGCAACTACATCAATATAACAATACATCAATATATCATCAATACATCCATATAATTAATTCATCAGTAAAGTCATAATCCGAATTTCCTCGTCCATTATTCCAAGTTCCAAGATCAGTCAGTTGGTTGCACTGCTTAATTAAACGCCTGTTCAAAGAGCCAGGTTTTTACTCTTCTCCTGAACGCCAGCAGGGAGGGGGCCGATCTAATGTCTGCGGGAAGGGCGTTCCACAGCCGAGGAGCCACCACTGAGAAGGCCCTATCTCTCGTCCCCGCCAGCCGAGCTTGAGAAGCAGGCGGGATCGAGAGCAGGGCCTCCCCGGAAGATCTCAAAGTCCTGGTGGGTTCATAGGCAGAGATGCGGTTGGATTGGTAGCTTGGGCCGGAACCGTTTAGGGCTTTAAAGGCCAACGCCAGCACTTTGAATTCAGCCCGGTAGCAGATCGGTAGCCAGTGGAGTTGGCGCAACAGGGGGGTTGTATGCTCCCTGCACTCCGCTCCTGTTAAAATCATGGCTGCCGAGCGTTGGACTAGTTGGAGCTTCCGAGCTGTCTTCAAAGGCAACCCCACGTAGAGAGCGTTGCAGTAGTCTAAACGGGATGTAACCAGAGCGTGGACTACCGTGGCCAAGTCAGACTTCCCAAGGTACGGGCGCAGTTGGCGCACAAGCTTTAGCTGTGCAAATGCTCCCCTGGTCACCGCCGAAACCTGGGGTTCCAGGCTCAGCGATGAGTCCAGGGTCACACCCAAGCTGCGAACCTGCGTCTTCAGGGGGAGTGCGGCCCCATCCAACACAGGCTGTAACCCTATGCCCTGTTCGGCCTTGCGACTGACCAGGAGTACCTCTGTCTTGTCTGGATTCAATTTCAATTTGTTCGCCCTCATCCAGACCGTCACAGCGGCCAAGCACCGGTAGCAGCACAGGCCCATCGTTGGCGGGGGTCTGAGTTTATCTGGTTGGAGGTGAGGTACAGCTCCCAAAACTCAAAGTCAATCCTTCCCAAACCTCTCCAGGAATCAAATTTCGGCCTATGAGGTATGTAGCCCTAGTTTGGTCCAGATCCATCAACAACAACAAAAACTTGATTTTGTATTGTCGAAGGCTTTCATGGCCGGAATCACTGGGTTGCTGTAGGTTTTTGCGGGCTATATGGCCATATTCTAGAGCAGTGTTTCTCAGCCTGGGGGTCGGGACCCCTATGGGGGTCACGAGGTGATGTCAGAGGGGTCGTCAAAGACCATCAGAAAACAGTATTTTCTGTTGGTCATGGGGGTTCTGTGTGGAAAGTTTGGTCCAATTCTATCAATGAATGCTATTTCATTGTGGGTGAACTATAAATCCCAGCATCTGCAACTCCCAAATGGCAAGGTCTATTTTCTCCAAACTCTACCAGTGTTCACATTTGGGCATATTGAGTATTTGTGTCAAGTTTGATCCAGATCCATCATTGCTTGAGTCCACAGTGTTCTCTGGATGTAGGTGAACTACAACTCCAAAACTCAAGGTCAATGTCCACCAGACCTTCCCAGTATTTTCTCTTGGTCATGGGAATTCTGTGTGCCTTGTTTGATTCAATTCCATCATTGATAGAGTTCAGAAGGCTCTTTGATTTAAGGTGAACTATAAATCCCAGCAACTCCAGCATTACCAAATGACAAAATCAATCACCCCCAACCCCACCAGTATTCAAATTTTGGGCATATCGGGTATTTGTGCCAAATTTGGTCCAGTGACTGAAAATACATCCTGCATATCAGATATTTACATTACAAAATTACAGTTATGAAGTAGCAACAAAATAACGTTGTGGTGGGGGGTCAGCACAACCTGAGTACCTGTACTAAGGGGTCACGGCATTAGGAAGGTTGAGAACCACTGTTCTAGAGGCATTCTCTCCTGATGTTTCATCTGCATCTATGGCAAGCATCCTCAGAGGAAAATGGGTTTATTTATCTGTGGAATGACCAGGGTAGGACAAAGAACTCTTGTCTGTTGGAACTAGATGGGAATGTTTCAACTGACCACCTTGATTAGCATTTGATGTCCTGGCAGTGCTTGGGGCAATCTTTTGGGAGTCTCTTCCAACCACTCTGCTGGCTGTTGAATTGGATCACACGTCGGACACTTCCCAAGTGTCTAGGTCTGTGTGATGTATTGGCGAATAATGCATGCAGTTCCCAGTAAGGTGGCCTTTTGCAGCTGGCAGATGATAATTTTGTCAGCGTTGATTGTGTTTAAGTGCATGCCAAGGTCTTGAGGCACTGCACCCAATGTGCCGATCACCACTGGGACCACCTTGACTGGCTTGCTCCAGAGTCTTTGCAGTTCGATCTTTAAATTCTCATATTGTGTCAGCTTTTCCAGTTGTTTTTCTTCCATCTTGCTGTCACCTGGGATTATGACATCGACGATCCATACTTTGTTTATTAACACGATCATGAGGTCAGGAGTATTATGCTCCAAAACTCTGTCAGTCTGAATCTGGAAGTCCCAGAGTAGCTTGATGTGTTCATTCTCTGTAACTTTTTCTGGCTTGTTATCCCACCAGTTCTTTGTCACAGTCAGATGGCCACAGTGGTCCACACTCTTGTTACATCCCGTATAGACTACTGCAACGCACTCTACGTGGGGTTGCCCTTGAAGACTGTTCGGAAACTTCAACTGGTCCAGCGAGCGGCAGCCAGATTGCTTACCGGAGCGACATACAGGGAGCACACCACCCCCCTGCTGTGTCAGCTCCACTGGCTGCCGGTTCAGTTCCGAGCACAATTCAAGGTGCTGGTTTTGACCTACAAAACCCTTTACGGTTCCGGTCCAGTGTATCTGTCCGAACGTATCTCCCTCTACGTCCCACCCCGGAATTTGAGATCATCTGGGGAGGCCCTGCTCTCGACCCCACCGCTATCACAAGTGAGGCTGGTGGGGACGAGGAGCAGGGCCTTCTCAGTGGTGGCCCCTCACCTGTGGAACTCAGTCCCGGGGGAAATCAGGGCATCAACATCCCTCCTCACCTTCAGGAGGAGGGTGAAGACGTGGTTGTGGGACCAGGCCTTTGGGCAATCTGACAATTAGATATGGAAACCAGATGGATAGGACTGAAAGGACTGACAATTGTGGAATTGGAATTTAACTATGAGATTGTGAAACGCTGACCGTCAATGAGGTTTGTATTGGTTTTATTGCTTTTATTGGTTTTATGGTTGTTTTTGCCTATAATAATTATTGTTTTCTGTTAATTGTTGTTATTGCTAGAATTGCTGTCTTTGTTAACTGATGTTATTGTCTTTTGCTGTTATGTGATGCGGGCATCGAATTGTGCCTTGCTTTTGTAAGCCGCCCTGAGTCGCCCCCCCCCCCCCCCAGGGTGAGAAGGGCGGGGTAGAAGCAACCGAAATAAATAATAAATAATAATTTGTGACACAAGTTTATTATTATTTTTTTATTATTATATGATGCTGCAGCTAAAAAAGCCAATGGGATTTTGAGCTGCATCCTAAGATGTCGAGTGTCCACACCGAGGGAAGTTGAGGTGCCTTTTGTATTCTGCTTTAGTTTGATCTCAGCTGGAATACTGTGTCCAATTCTGGGCAAAGCAATTCAAAAGGAACATTGACTCTAAGCTGGAAGGAGTTGAGAGGAGGGCAACTAAAAAGATCAAAGGCTTGGAAACCATTAATCCCTACGAGGAGCATTTTATTTATTATTTATTTATTATTTATTTATTTATTTATTTACTTTGCTTATATACCGCTGTATCTCAAGCCCGAAGGCGACTCACGGCGGTTCACAAACAGTAAAAACAGTAGAAACAGCAGTGGTTCCATACAACATATAACAATTGACTTAACACATTATCCATAAATTACCAATAAGCAGTTACAATGCACAATTATTACAAAAAACAACCGTACCCAATCTTCTCATCATCCAAGCGTAGTCCAGGTTCGTCGTCCCTTGTTCCATTCCTATGTTCCATTACCAGATTGCACTAAATTACTCAAACGCCTGCACAAACATCCAGGTCTTCACCTTTTTGCGGAATACCATTAGAGATGGTGCTAGTCTAATGTCCGTAGGAAGGGCGTTCCACAGCCGAGGAGCCACCACCGAGAAGGCCCTATCTCTCGTCCCCGCCAGCCGAGCTTGCGAAGCAGGCGGGATCGAGAGCAGGGTCTCCCCGGAAGATCTCAAACTCCTGGTGGGTTCATAGGCAGAGATGCGGTCAGATAGGTAGCTTGGGCCGGAACCGTTTAGGGCTTTAAAGGCCAACGCCAGCACTTTGAATTCAGCCCGGTAGCAGATCGGTAGCCAGTGGAGTTGGCGCAACAGGGGGGTTGTATGCTCCCTGCGCTCCGCTCCTGTTAAAATCATGGCTGCCGAGCGTTGGACTAGTTGGAGCTTCCGAGCTGTCTTCAAAGGCAACCCCACGTAGAGAGCGTTGCAGTAGTCTAAACGGGATGTAACCAGAGCGTGGACTACCGTGGCCAAGTCAGACTTCCCAAGAGCTGGGTATGTTTACCCCACAGAAGAGACATGAGAGCCATGTATAAATATGTGAAAGGATGCCATAAGGAAGAGGCAGTTCAAGTGGTGCCAAACTGCAACAATTCACAGTTGGACTTGCACAATGTGTTGGGTTTCAAAGATTGTTGTCGTTATGTTCCTTTATGTTAATTCTGATATATGATAGATAGATATTATATATGACCGAGGAAGCAGATGACATTTCCTGATAAACTGATGCTGTGTTACTGCAGGAGAAGAGGAAAGCGAGGATGACGTGAGCGAATTGGTAAAGGAAGACGGAGCGGAGGAGGAGGAGAAGAAGCCATCGTCGGCTGGAGAGAAGCGCAAGAAGAACGCCAAAGGGACCTTGTGTCGGTAGGCAAGAGTTTCCTTTAGGGAAATGTAACTTGTACAGTAGAGTTTTGCTTATCCAACCTTCATTCATCCAACATTCAGTATTATCCAACACAGTATTCAGTATTGTCTGCCTCCACAGCTGTTTCAATACATTGCGATGTTTTGGTGCTAAATTCATAAATACGGTCATTACTGCATAACATTACCATGTATTGAACTGCTTTTCCTGTTGATTTGCTGTAAAACATGGTGTTTTGGTGCTTAATTTGTAAAATCATAACGTAATTTGACGTTTAATAGGCTTTTCCTTAATCCCTCCTTATTATCCAACATTTTCGCTTAACCAACGTTCTGCCGGCCTGTTTATGTTAGATCGAGACTACTGTATATACAATCCTAATATCCATTAACCGTTCAGCTTGACTCAAGAGACAATGTCATGGATTGAGGAAGAAGATGACATTTAAAAAATCGATGCAGCAAGAATTTTGTAGCAACTTTTGAGATGGATTGAAAAGATGTGGTCTAGGGTCTCCGAAAGCTGTTGTTTAACCAACTTCTGCGTCTTCTCTGTTAAAGACTGCTGATGCCTTATCAAACTACAAATTCTATGATCGAATATCTTTGAGCCATGGAAATTAATTTAGAGATGATGTCCCTCAAATAGGGATACCAAGTGCAGCTCCTGAAGCTGCTTTATTTATTTATTTATTTATTTATTATTTAGACCATTTCTGCCCCGCCCTTCTCACCCCCGAGGGGGGACTCAGGGCGGCTAACACAGGCAACTATTCAATGCTAACAGTATCAAAACAACAATATAAAACAGCAATATAAAATCCATTACATAACAATTAAGCAGTGATATTAATTAAAATTACATAACCACATAGAACAGATCACAGAATCACAGGTCATAAAGCCTTTTCCCATTTTCAAACAATCCTATTGTCCGAGTTCTGTGCTTAAAGTGCTGTTGTGCCCAATAGCTAAAGGCCTGGCTCCAAAACCACGTCTTTAGTTCTTTCCTAAAAGTAAGGAGGGAGGACTCCGATCTAATCTTGCTGGGAAGTGAATTCCATAAGCGGGGGGTCACCACCGAGAAGGCCCTGTCCCTCGTCCCCACCAGACGTGTTTGAGACGCTGGTGGGACTGAGAGCAGGGCCTCCCCAGTAGATCTTAAATTATGAGGTGGAACGTAGAGAGAGATACGTTCGGATAAGTAAACTGGGCCGGAACCATATAGGGCTTTATAGGCCAAGACCAGCACCTTGAATTGTGCTCGGAGGTGGACTGGCAGCCAGTGGAGCTGACATAGCAGGGGGGTGGTGTGCTCCCTGTATGGCGCTCCGGTGAGTAATCTGGCTGCTGCCCGTTGGACTAGTTGAAGTCTCCGTACAGTCTTCAAAGGCAACCCCACATGGAGTGCGTTGCAGTAATCTATTCAGGATGTAACCAGAGCGTGGACCACTGTGTTTCCCCTTTTGCTTTGGCTCAGCACTAAGATTACCGTATTACATGAAGCAAACGCACTCCCTAATTTTAGCGAGATCATTTAGCCAAAAAAGGTGAGCATTAGTTTCGAGTAAATAAGGTATTTTAAAATTCCGTGCCAAAATATGAAGATCTTATTGAAATTTAGTATGTCTTAAAAGCTTAATTTGAATTTGGGCCGCTTAAAGATTGTTGGGTGGCACTGATAGACAAATATCTGTCAGTGGCCAGGATGGCTATCTAAGCAATGCTCCCCTTTGATGTGAATCAGATTTTTCAGCTTATGCTGGCACCAAAAACGAATTTAGGAGTAAGTTGAATGCCACCCCGGATTTACATATTTGGCTGTTGGACATAAAGCCCAATTTCAAAATTGTTTTAAGGACAAAAATGAAACAACTTCATTCATCACTTTACGGTACAGGAAATCCAACCTTTTCCTGTACCAAAATAAATGTTTGTAATAATAATAATAATAACAATAATAATATTTATTTATTTGATCAGTCATATGACCATTTCAAAATAGATAAATGTTTGTAATTATATCTGAAATTTTATTTTACCCAAAAATAAAAGTTTGTGGTTATATTTGAAATATTTTCTTTTTAGTTACAACTAGGTAAGGTAAAGGTAGTCCCCTGACATTAAGTCCAGTCATGTCTGACTCTGGGGTGTGGTGCTCATCTCCATTTCTAAGCCGAAGAGCCAGCGTTGTCCGTAGACACCTCCAAGGTCATGTGGCCGGCATGACTGCATGGAGCGCCCTTACCTTCCCGCCGGAGCGGTACCTATTGATCTACTCACATTTGCATTTTTTCGAACTGCTAGGTTGGCAGAAGCTAGGGCTGACAGCGGAAGCTCATGCCGCTCCCCGGAATCGAACCTGCGACCTTTCGATCAACAAGCTCAGCAGCTTAGTGCTTTAAACCACTGCGCCACCGGGGGCTCCTTAGTTACTACTACAATAATAATAATAATAAACTTTATACCCCACCACCATCTCCCCAAAGGGGACTCAGTGCGGCTTACATGAGGCCACGCCCATCAATACAGCAACACAATATAATACAAAACACAACAGAAAATCAGAAAATAAAATAACATAAAATACAAAATGTAAATATACAGCACAAAAATATAAAATCCAAACATTAAACCACTAAAAATGAACACAATGGGCAGGGCCAGTACAAAAATTAAAATTTTAAAGCACTGGGAGATAGGGCAGTGTAAAATATCCGGAAGGGGATTCAGAGGATAAGGTAAGAGTACAAGCCTACTGCATTACAAAACACTCAGGCAATAGGAGAAGGTGGAAGAAGGAAGGACTGTGTGGATTCATACTTCTTAGAGACAGAATTAAGGATTTGGTGCGGGGAAGAAGTCTTCTAGAAGAGTTCCATGACCCAAAAAGTTTGGTGCTACACCTTTGTCCTTCCGACTAAAGCAGATACCTTTCTGCATACTGCAAAAATGTGATGTTAGCAATATCCACAGCCTGACTGCTGATGAGTTTGTCGCTTTTGGTGACATTTGTTTTCAGGAAAAGAAAGAGAGGAGGCCTGCTTTTGGACCCAGACGGAGGGGAGTCTTCAAAGGACGGCAAGAGCGACAGTGAGGACAGCGAATCAGGGGAGAGTCCGATCACACAGCCGACAGAACAGGAGCAGAGGAAAAAGGAGGACGACTTGTGGGCCAGTTTTCTCAGCGATGTGGGGCAGAAGCCTAAAGCGGCTCCCGCAGCTCAAACGTCTTGCCCACCAAAAGACAAGGTACGGAAAAAGTGTGGGAAGTGTATGAAAGGTGGGATTGTTCTCATTGGCCATAGCTTAAAGGCAAAGTTCCCAGGTTCCAAAGGCAAACAACTTGAAGCATAGTCCTTTAGCATTGGTTAACCAAGAGTCCATGGCAGCAAGACAAAGTCTCCAAAAATCAGGATCGAAATCAAAGTCCCAAAGAGCCAGAAGCTTTCTGCAAAAGTCAAGGTAATTCCACAGAAGTTAGCAGGGTAAAAGCAACATTGGACTGACAGAATGCCCTTCGACCAGATCATTAAATACGTTTCCCCAACATGAAAGCATTACATTGACCTGTAGCTTCACGCTTGTTGGCAAGGCGTGCGATTATCCGAACTCTTAATTGCAAACGGTCCTCTCTAATCAAATCTCCACTATCTTCAAGGCCGGTTAGCTCATTATCTTCACCCTGCTGGGCCTGGTCACCCTGGGAAACAAAAGGCCCTGAGCTCCCAGAAGGAGCTTCCACCTAGAGCTCCAAAATTTCACTATCTTTATCAACAGTTACATTACTTTCTCTGGGGAACAGAAATGCCGTCTCTTCTTCAGAATCAACATTACGAACATTATTTTATTTATATAGATTAATATATAAAATAATTATAACGTTATATAGTTATATAAAAAATTATGATATGGTATATATAATATAATAATTATAATGTAATTAATAATCATATTAAAATATATTATTTTAAGGGCCAGGGTCCCATTTGTAAACCTTGCTTTCCACGCCAGACCTTTTGATGCACAAATGGGATGGGAGGAGGAATTCCTGATTTATTATGATTGTGGTATTTGCAAGACGTTTGAACCAACACAAATCCTAAGATCATCCGGGGAGGCCCTTCTCTCGCTTCCACCTCCGTCTGAAGCATGGTTCGTGGAGACGAGAGAGAGGCCCTTCTTTCTGGTGGCCTCCCGGCTCTGGAACTCTCTTCCTAGGGAGGTCAGACTTGCACCTACCATGTCCACCTTCCGCAAGAACCTAAAAACATGGATTTCCACTGTTCCTTTGACCAGGTAGTTCCAAAGTATTGGCCCAGTGTTACTTTAGTTCTGGCACTTTAGCATGGCCGTCCGCTCTACAATCCTGACATATTAATGCCCATAAACATTATCCTCCCGGCCCTGCCTTTCTGAATTTTGCTCTTTCCATTAGCTCTATTTAGGAATTTGCACAAACCCAGAGCCCTCTGAACTCAGCTCTTTTATCATTCTGTATGGTATTGGTTTTATGATATTATGCTTTATTGTGATATGTTTTTATTCGGTTTTGTTTTTGATACGATGTTATTGTGTTATGTTTTAAACTTTGTGCTCTCTGGGCTTGTCCCTTTGTAAGCCTCCCTGAGTCCCTTAGGGGAGATGGAGGCAGGGTATAAAATAATAATAATAATAATAATAATAATAATAATAATAATAATAATTACTATTATTATTATTATTATTATTATTATTATTATTATGTTCTTGTGGGTTTTTTCGGGCTATAGGGCCATGTTCTAGAGGCATTTCTCCTGATGTTTCGCCTGCATCTATGGCAAGCATCCTCAGAGGTAGTGAGGTCTGTTGGAAATAGGACAATGGGTTTATATATCTGTGGAATGGCTGGGGTGGGGCACAGAGCTCTTCTCTGCTGGAGCTCGGTGTGAATGTTTCAACTGACCATCTTCATTAGCATCTGAAGGCCTGGCTGAGCCTGGGAAAATGTTTTGTTGAGAGGTGTTAACATGTTCCTGGTTGTTTCCTCTCTGCTGTTTTGCTGTTGTAATTTTAGAGTTTTTTAATACTGGTAGCCAGATTTTGTTCATTTTCATGGTCTCCTCCTTTCTGTTGAAATTGTCCACATGCTTGTGGATTTCAATGGCTTTTCTGTGTAGTCTGACATGGTGGTTGTTGGTGTGGTCCAGCATTTCTGTGTTCTCAAATAATCTGCTGTGTCCAGGCTGGTTCCTCAGGTGCTCTGCTATGGCTGACTTCTCTGCTTGAAGTAGTCTGCAGTGCCTTTCACGAACATGAGAGGAAACAACCAGGCACATCTTAACACCTCTCAAAAAAAGATTTTCCCAGGCCCAGCCAGGCCTTCAAATGCTAATGAAGGTAGTCAGTTGAAACATTCACACCTAGCTCCAGCAGAGAAGAGCTCTTTGCCCCACCCCAGCCATTCCACAGATATATAAACCCATTGTCCTAATTCCAACAGACCTCACTACCTCTGAGGATGCTTGCCATAGATGCAGGCGAAACGTCAGGAGAAATGCCTCTAGAACATGGCCCTATAGCCCAAAAAACCCACAAGAACCTAGTGATTCCAGCCATGAAAGCCTTCGACAATACATTACTATTATTATTATTATTATTATTATTATTATTATTATTATTACTATTATACTATGAGATGACCTGATCCATTGGAAAGGACTATGGGCTCTTCCAGACAGGCCCCATATCCCAGGATGTGATCCCAGATTTTCTGTTTATCCCAGATTATCTGGCAGTGGGGACTCATATAATCCATCTTAAAGCAGAAAATTTGGGGTCCAATCCTAAGATGTAGGACCTGTCTGGAAGGGCCCTAAGATGCTCAGTGAAATTGGAAAAGAGGGAAACCCTATTACAGGTGAATTGATTCTGTCAAGGAAGCCCTGAGTTTGCAAGCCTTGAGCTTCTTTAGCTCTTGTTCATGGTGTCATCATAAGTTTGAGCTAACTAGATAAACATCCTGAGGTCTCAAAGCCAAGCTAGTGGAGCTAATTCTAGCATTTTTAAAACTTTTATTGTTTTTCTTCCTGTTCCACTTAGCCAGCAGAGGAGAAGAAAAACTCCTGTAAGCCCCAGGAAACAGCGAAAGAACCAGAGAAGAGCAAAGTAGCCATCACCAAAGTGTTTGACTTTGCTGGTGAAGAGGTGAGGTGAGTTCGGTTTGTGGCATCTATAGCAAGGGAATGGGGAGAGTTTACTATCTGGACAATTGGCACTATAGCATTTCATGTTGCGATTTACACTATGGAAGATTCTAGAAAGTTGCGGGCCTGAAAATAGCTGTTCTTTTATGATTTTGGGGTGCTGAAAACGAAAATGACATTTAAAAACGTATATTGGCTCTAGTTTTTATGATATAAGCAATCACGTGATCATGTATGGTTGAAAAAATGCATGTTGCGACTTACACTATGGAAGATTCTAGAATATTCTAGAAAGTTTGATGACGCAGTATTAGTGCCGTGTGCAAAAGCCAGAAAGCCCTATATAAGGCCAGACTTTTGAACAGTGAGGGTCAATCAGTTGAAGACTGAGACAGTATCGTTCAACATCGTTTTACATTGTACTTTTTACTGTAGTTCTGCCTCGCACGTGTGTAAATAAAGCACTATGGAAAAAAGATATCAAGGCAAATGGACTCCGTCAATGCTGTCAGACTCCTGCTGGAGCATTGCAAGAGGGAATCCTTTCCTTGAATACGAAAGAAAAGTCAAGAGAAGCAAACAGGATAGAAACTAAAGTCACAATTAAAGCGACATTTAAACTTTCAGACTTTTCAACTGCATAAGGCCTACTCATATAGTTTCTTGCTGCACAAACATAAACAATAGACATTAAATAAATATTTCTCATGTATAAACTATTGGCAATATAATTTGACTAAAATTTAGTAAATATTCATGGTTTATATACATGCAGTAAGGTTAGGCGCATTATCATAATATTAACGAATTACCTATTGTGGAGAAAATTGAAATAGCTGTTGCATAAAAACCAGAGCCAATTAACACAATTATTATATTTGAATTCAGCATGTTAAATTTATTAAGAAACGGCACATTTCGTTTCCGCAACTGAGAAAAACTGAAAATTTGTAGAACAGTGCAATCAGCACCCTTCAGCTATAATGCAAAGAGCTCTTTCAGTTTTGGAAAGTCTGACTAGAGAATGGTTAGAGGTGGATTTGAATGCTCAAGAGCAAGCTTTGGGAGGGAGGCGCTTGAAGGAAATGTGTTTCTTTGCCCTCCTGGAAAGGACTCAGGGAGGAGAACGTTTCCACTGTTTTGGAATGGGGGAGGGAATCATTGTTCATCAGTTCCCCCAAGAATACTACAGGAAGCAACAGGCTTAAATAGCAGGAAGGGAGATCCGGGCTAAACATGAACCCACACTTCCTAAGGGAAAGATCTGTCGTGGCATAAAATAGATGAAATACTCCTTCCCCCCAAATATACTCTCCCTACTTGATTGTTTTGAAGGAAAGGTAAAGTGTGAACTGTATTGTCGAAGGCTTTCATGGCCGGAATCACTGGGTTGTTGTAGGTTTTTTCGGGCTGTATGGCCATGGTCTAGAGGCATTCTCTCCTGACGTTTTGCCTGCATCTATGGCAAACATCCTCAGAGGTAGTGAGGTCTGATGGAACTAGGAAAATGGGTTTATATATCTGTGGAATGACCAGGGTGAAACAAAGGACTCTTGTCTGCTGGAGCTCGGTGTGAATGTTTCAACTGATCACCTTGATTAGCATACAATGGGCTGACTGTGCCTGGAGCAAACTTTTGTTGAGAGGTAATTAGAAGCAGGCAGGTCAATACAGCCCGAAAAAACCTACAACCACCCGAAGTGTGAACTGTTGCAAACAATGAGTTAAAGAAGTTTAATGGCAGGTTCAGAAATTGTCTGGAAAGGGTCACTAACAATAGTTTGTTTGGCTGTGTACTTCCTGAATATCTTGCCCTGTGCTTTTATTCATTTATTATACTACTAGCCGTCCCCTACCACGCGTTGTTATGGCCCACTCTGGTGATCATGGGGGTTCTGTGTGGGAGGTTTGGCCCAATTCTATCATTGGTGGGGTTCAGAATGCTCTGTGATTGTAGGTGAACTATAAATCCCAGCAACTACAACTCCCAAATCTCAAGATTCTATTTTCCCCAAACTCCACCAGTGTTCACATTTGGGCAGATTGAGTATTCGTGTAGAGTTTGGTCCAGATCCATCCTTGTTTGAGTCCACAGTGATCTCTGTATGTAGGTGAACGACAACTCCAAAACCAAAGGACACTGCCCACCAAACCCTTCCAGTATTTTCTGTTGGTCACGGGAGTTCTGTGTGCCAAGTTTGGTTCAATTCCATCATTGGTGGGGTTCAGAATGCTCTTTGATGGTAGATGAACTATAAATCCCAGCAACTACAATTCCCAAATGACAAAATCTTTTTTTTAGTGAAGGACATACATTGGGTTGTTAAGTGTATTGTATCCAGATTTGGTGTCAATTCCCCCAGTGGTTTTTGAGTTCTGTTAATCCCACAAATGAACATGACATTTTTATTTATATAGATATAAATTAATGGTACAAAATGCCTAACGTTGTGGGTGAACTACAACTCACTTCATGCTAGATTAACACTGAGAAACCCCATCAGTACTTAACGTTTGTTATGTTGGGCAGGTTTGCTCTGGATGCATAATGGGTGGGGTTCAGTGTGCTCTCTGGCTGTAGGGTAAACTACAACTCCCACTATGGTGAGTCAGACCCCTCAAATTCCTCCAGTAGGTTGCGTTGGCGATGGGGGTTCTGTGTGCCAAATTTGGTCCAGGTCCATCATCGATAGAGGTCACAGTTTTTTTGTTTGTGAGTGAACTACAACTCCCAGAAAGGAAGGTCACTTCCCCCAACCCCCCTCCCTCAGCAATAAAATTTCAGCATATCAGGTATGTGTGCCAAGTTTGCTCCATATCCATTGGTGCTTGGGTTCACAGTGCTCTCTGGATGTCAGTGAACTACAACTCCCCCCAATCAAGGTGAACTTTCCCTAAAGACCTCCAGTATTATTTGCTGGCCATGGGGGCTCTGTATGCCAAGTTAGGTCCAATTCCATTTTTGGTGGAGTTCAGAGTGTTCCTTGATTGCAGGTGAACTATAAATCCCAATACCCACAACTCCAAAATATCCAGGCCAATTCCCCTCAAAACCCACCAGTATTCAAATTTGAGAATATTGGGTACGCATGCCAAGTTGGGTCCAGGTCCATCATGGTTTTAGGTTCATAGTGTAGTCTGGATGTAGGTGAACTATAACTCCTTTAAATCCCTCCAAAGACCTCTAGTATTTTTTTGTTCAAAATCAAAATAGTTTATTGTACGGGCCCAAGGCCTTGACAAAAATCATCACATGTGCACAATAGTACTCTCGGAGTAACAGACACCAAAGATGCTCTAGTATTTTTTGTTGGTCATTGGGGTTCTGTCAAGGTACAAACGCCACAAAGTCAGTCCCAAGTGCAAAGTAACAACAGTTTATTGAAAGTACAGCTCAAAAGAAAAAAAATGCTTAACAGCAGCAAAATAGTATTCCAAAACAAAACACAGACCAACTGGTCAAAAAGGAGGCAAATCAGAGAGTCCCAAAGTCCTAAAAATCCCAACCCACTAACCAAATAACACAGCAAAGGAAAGTACACTCGTTATTGTTTCAGTGAGCACGTTCCAGGGTGTAGCAAAGTCGTAGTCAAGCCGGTCCAGGGATCAACCACAGCAAACAGGATACCACAGCAGCAGCGTCAAACGTCTAATCCAAGGTCAGGGAAGAAGAGCGAAGGCGATGTCCAGAAGCAATCCAAGGTCCAAGACAAAGCAGTAGCAGAGGGTCCACGAAGTTCAGGAATCACAACCCAGCGTAGCAGGCAACCCAGCAAACACTTTGCCAGTTGCAAAGTCCCCATTGCAATCAACCCACCTTACATTACAAACTTTCCTCTGAGTAGCAATGAGACAACGCCCCACCCTCAGCTGCTCCTGCATACTCCTCCAAACTGGAATCAGACAACACCCCACACTCAACTGCCAGTTGTGCTTCTCCTGCTTCTACTTGTTGTTGTTGTTCATTCGTTCAGTCGTCTCCGACTCTTCGTGACCTCATGGACCAGCCTACGCCAGAGCTCCCTGTCGGCCGTTACCACCCCCAGCTCCCTCAAGGTCAGTCCAGTCACTTCAAGGATGCCATCCATCCATCTTGCCCTTGGTGGCCCCTCTTCCTTTTGCCTTCCACTTTCCCCAGCATAATTGTCTTCTCTAGGCTTTCCTGTCTCCTCATGATGTGGCCAAAGTACTTCAACTTTGTCTCTAGTATCTTTCCCTCCATTGAGCAGTCGGGCTTTATTTCCTGGAGGATGGACTGGTTGGATCTTCTCGCAGTCCAAGGCACTCTCAGCACTTTCCTCCAACACCACAGCTCAAAAGCATCGATCTTCCTTCGCTCAGCCTTCCCTAAGGTCCAGCTCTCACATCCGTAGGTGACTACAGGGAATACCATGGCTTTGACTAGGCGGATCTTTGTTGCCAGTCTGATGTCCCTACTCTTTACTATTTTATCGAGACTGGACATTGCTCTCCTCCCAAGAAGTAAGCGTCTTCTGATTTCCTGGCTACAGTCTGCATCTGCAGTAATCTTTGCACCTAGAAATACAAAGTCTGTCACGGCCTCCACGGTTTCTCCCTCTATTTTCCAGTTGTCAATCATTCTTGTTGCCATAATCTTGGTTTTTTTGACGTTTAGCTGCAACCCGGCTTTTGTGCTTTCTTCTTTCACCTTGATTAGAAGGCTTCTACTTACATCTCCCCAAACAGTAGACGAATCATCCTCCCTCCAAGTTTCATCCCCAGCAAACCCTCTGAATGTGTCACTACTTGTAGGCTCCTCACACACTTCTCTCACTTCTGCTACTTTTGTCCAATCCATCTCATCCCCAACCCCATCAGTGTCACTCCCAGCACTTCTCATAGAATCTGCTTCATTGCCAAACCCATCATCCCCATCAAACCCTTCAAAAGACTCTTCATCAGTGGGTTCAGTAAGTATTCAGTAAGTGGAGCCCCCGGTGGCGCAGTGGGTTAAACCCCTGTGCGGCAGGATTGAAGACCAACAGGTCGCAGGTTCGAATCCGGGGAGAGGCGGATGAGCTCCCTCTATCAGCTCTAGCTCCTAATGCGGGGACATGAGAGAAGCCTCCCACAAGGATGATAAAAACATCAAAAATCATCCGGACGTCCACTAGGCAACGTCCTTGCAGACGGCCAATTCTCTCACAACAGGAGTGACTCCTGACACGACCAAAAAAAAAAAAAAAAAGTAAGTATTTGCCAAATTCTCTTCTGTTGTTGCTCCTCAGATTCTTGCTCCTGAGTAGACCTTTTTGCCTGCCTAGTCTCCAGCTCCCTGTTGTTACTACTACTCAGAGACTCATCCACACCAGGTTCTGTGTGCCAAGTTAGTTCCAGGTTCATCACTGGTGGGGTTTAGAGTGCACTTAGATTGCAGATGAACTATCCATCCCAGTATCTACATCTCCTATGAATCATGGTGAATTCTCCCCAAACCTCCCTGTTCAGTTGTTGATCCATTCTTCTGTAGTCTGCTGCTTATGTTGCTGCTGCCACGTCGCTGTTTTATGCTTCTTCTTCTTTAATGTGTCCCTTTTCTCCTCTTGTGGCAGAGTCACAAAGGAAGTTGACGCCAGGTCAAAAGAAGCCCAGCTTTTTTTGAAACAGCAAGAGCAGAAAACAGTCAGCCCAGCGATTAGTCCTGCGGTTTCTGGGTAAGTTCCGGACATCTGGGTCGCGTACATTTCCAGGTTTGACTTTTGCAGATTTGGTTATTTGTGGATTTGAATAAAATGTTTCCATTCTGAATCTGTAGCTTTTTTGGGGGGACAGGTCTGTGGTCACCTTCCACCAGAAGGTGGCCATATAGTCATGAGAAATCTCTAGGTCAGAGGTCCACAAACTTTTTAAACAGAGGGCCAGGTCACAGTCCCTCACTCAAACTGTTGGAGGGCCGGATTATGCATAATTTGAAAAAAATATATATGAATGAATTCCTATGCACACTGCACATATCTTATTTGTAGTGCAAAAAAAAAAGACTTAAAAACAATACAATAATTAAAATAAGAACAATTTTAATAACTATAAGCTTATTAGTATTTCAATGGGAAGTGTGGGCCTGCTTTTGGCTGATGAGATAGGGTTGTTGTTGTGTGCTTTCAAGTCATTTCAGACTTAGGTTGACCCTGAGTGAGGGCCGGGTAAATCCTTGGGAAGTCCGACTTAGCCACGGTAGTCCACGCTCTGGTTACATCCCGCCTTGATTACTGCAACGCTCTCTACGTGGGGTTGCCTTTGAAGACAGTCCGGAAGCTCCAACTAGTCCAACGGGCGACAGCCATGGTACTAACAGGAGCGGGGCGCAGGGAGCACACAACTCCTCTGCTGCACCAGCTCCACTGGCTGCCGATATGCTACCGGGCTCAATTCAAAGTGCTGGTTTTGGCCTTTAAAGCCCTAAACGGTTCTGGCCCAACTTATCTATCCGAACGTATCTCAGCCTATCAGCCCACCAGGACCCTAAGATCTTCTGGAGAGTCCCTGCTCTCTATCCCACCGGCTTCCCAAGTGCGGCTGGCGGGAACGAGAGACAGGGCCTTCTCTGTGGTGGCCCCTCGGCTTTGGAACACCCTCCCTATAGAGATACGATCAGCCTCTTCGCTGATGGTCTTTCGGAAGAGATTAAAAACATGGTTGTGTAAACAAGCATTCAATTAGTTTGTTACTATTGAATTTATAGACTAAGGACTGGTTAACTATGGATGACGAACTCTGGACTGTGATTTTTGTGACGAGAAGCATGGTATTATTATTGGTGGCCCAATAATTTGTATTGTTTACGTGTTGTTGTTTTAAATTGTACATTGCTTTTAATTGCTGTAAACTGCAATGAGTCGCCGATTTAGGCTGAGATATTAGCGGTATACAAGTGTATTAAATAAATAAATAAATAAATAGGTTGACCCTGAGTAAGGGTAAATGACCTTAGAGGGCCGTATCCGGGCCTTAGTTTGAGGACTCCTGCTCTAGGTCCTCCAGTGCAATTCTATGATTGTCTTTGGTAAAAACTGATCCTAGAGTATTTTTAATTCACATTTTTATTATTATTATTATTATTATAACTTTATTTGTACCCCGCTAGCATCTCCCAAGGGATTCGATGCGGCTTACAACAGGCCGGAGCCCAACACAATACAACAATACAATACATAGCAAATAAAAACAGTTAAAGCAGAAAACAACAGCAATAGCAATACAACAGGACATTATTAAAAACTGAGCCGGCCGGAGTAGGGTACAGGATTAAAAAGTGCTGAAGTGTCGGAGGGATATGGGATTAAAATATAAGTGCAGTGTGCGGTGAGGGTGATCTTGACTCTACTAAAGTGCTTCTGGGCTTTGGTAGTGGGGTTCCTAATCTGAGAAGGCACGTTGGAACAGCCAGGTTTTCAGGTTCTTTCTGAAAACCGCCAAGGTAGGGGCCTGTCTGAGATCTTTCGGGAGGGCATTCCAGAGGCGGGGGGCCACCACAGAGAAGGCCCTGTCCCGCATCCCCACCAAACGGGCCTGCGACGCGGGCGGGATCACGAGCAGGGTCTCTCCTGATGACCGGAGTGAGCGTGTGGGTTCGTAGACTGTGATGCGGTCACGAAGGTAGGGTGGTCCCAAACCGTTCAGGGCTTTGTAGGTAAGCACCTGCACCTTAAATTGGGCTCGGAAAATAAACGGCAGCCAGTGGAGCTCCTTAAACAGAAGGGTTGACCTCTCTCTGTAATGAGCCCCAGTTAACATCCTGGCTGCTGCCCGTTGGACCAATTGGAATTTCCGAGCCGTTTTCAAGGGCAGCCCCACGTAGAGCGCATTGCAGTAATCCAGTCTAGAGGTGACTAAGGCATGGACCACCCCGGCCAGATCAGCCTTAGCGAGGTACGGGCGCAGCTGGCGCACAAGTCTCAGTTGTGCAAAAGCCCTCCTGGCCACCGCCGACGCCTGAGCCTCAAGCGTGAGTGATGAGTCCAGGAGGACTCCCAAGCTGCGGACCTGTGGCTTCAGGGGGAGTGTAACCCCGTCCAGCACAGGTTGCCACCCTATACCCCGGTCTGGTTTACGATCGACCAGGAGGACCTCTGTCTTGTCGGGATTGATCTTCAGCTTGTTCGTCCTCATCCAGATGGACACAGCGGCCAAGCACTCGTCTATTTACTTTTGTGAGGAGTCCTTCGCCCCTAACCCCAGAAAATGTGGGGAGCTGGCTATAGTACTAAATGCTGTATGGAGAGATTGTCTTTGGTAGAAACTGATGCTAGAATCTTATTGGGAAAAAATAATATTTTTAATTCACATTTTTATTTACTTTTGTGAGGAGTCCTTCGCCCCTAACCCCAGAAAATGTGGGGAACTGGCTATAAAGTAAAGAGTGATGGTCACGCTTTGAGTTAGTAGTTGTTTTGTGGCCAAATTTTGGTGTCAATTCGTCCAGTGGTTTTTGAGTTATGTTAATCCCACAAACGGACATTACATTTTTATTTATATAGATAGTTTGAGATTTTTTGCTGAACTCCTATGAGTTTTGCGGAACTCTATGGTTCCACATAACAGGGTTTGGGAACCGCTGCTCTGGAGATAATGTTTTTTGAACCTTTTTTTGAATATTTTCAATTGTTTTCCCATGGAAACACTAGTTCCATGGAGGTTGCATGAATAGTTAATGTTGGACGCTAGAGGGTGCCACGAAAGCCAGAAAGCAGTGGCTGCCCAGGTGATGTCATGCAGATTTAACAACCATTTGCAAACTCTTTGTCAGGCAAGACGGGGCCTCACGCTGCTGACAGCACATTGGAGCACTTCTACATGCCCGAGTGATGTGATCGCTTGCATAGAATTACGTAGTGTGTGTTCTCCTGCCTCTATCAAGATGAGTTATCGTTTTTTTGGAGGCCACATTCAGTATCAAGCTCTGAAATGGCAGTACTTCTTGAAAACTGCATGCCAGCCATTAGAATTTATGCTCAAAGCTGCCTAAATCAAGGAAATTAATAATAATAATAATAATAATAATAATAATAATAATAATAATAACTGGACAATTGGGACAGAAAAACAAGAAATCTCATGACTATTCACTGCATCCTCACAGTGATGTTGACCAGCTATAGGAGCCCCCAGTGGCACAGTGGGTTAAACCCCTGTGCCGGCAGGACTGAAGACTGACAGGTCGCAGGTTCAAATCCGGGGAGAGCGTGGATGAGCTCCCTCTGTCAGCTCCAGTTCTTCATGCGAGGACATGAGAGAATCCTCCCACAAGGATGGTAAAACATCAAAACATCCGGGCGTCCCCTGGGCAACGTCCTTGCAGACGGCCAATTCTCTCACAGCAGAAGGGACTTGCAGTTTCTCAAGTCGCTCCTGACACGACAAAAAAAAATCTGTGTAGAGGACCTGGTGGCAGAGGACTTTTACAAGTCAAACAAGCCGTTGAAGAAGAAAAACATGCCCTGGCCTAATATGTGAAGGAAAGTGAAGATCCTGCTTTGATTGATGTCATTAATCGGCAACTTCTCCAAACACAGCAGAGAAAGAATCAGTGTAAGAAAACTGTACTCCCAACCAGAGCTGACAGCTGGCACAACAAAGCATGGCATAGGCAGTTCCTTGACAAAATTGATGGAAACGTTGATAAGGAGAAGACCTGGTGATGGCTCACGAATTGAACACTGAAGAAGGAGACAGAAGAAGGTCTGATTCCTGCAGCCCAGGGGCAAGCCATCAGAACCAATGCAATTAAGGCCAGGATCGAAAAATCAGCTGATGACCCAAAATGCAGACTGTGCAAGGAAGCAGATGAAACCATGGACTATATCCTCAGCTGCTGCAAGAAAATCGCACAGACGGACTACAAACAGAAGCACAACTCTGTGGCCCAAATGATTCATTGGAACTTATGTCACAAGGACCACCTGCCAGGAGTAAAGAATTGGTGGGATCACAAACCTGCAAAGGGAGTGGAAAATGAACACACAAAAATACTGTGGGACTTTCGAATCCAGAATGACAAAGTTTTGGAACACAATACACCAGACATCACGATTGTGGAAAAGAAAAAAAAATTGGATTATTGATGTCACCATTCCAGGTGAGAGTCGCATTGAGGAAAAACAACAGGAAAAACTCAGTCGTTATCAAGACTTCAAAATGGAACTGCAAAAGCTCTGGTATAAACCAGTACAGGTGGTTTATCGGCACACTGGGAGTCATGCCAAAAGACCTCAGCCGGCATTTGGAAACGATAAACATGGACAAAATCACGATCTGTCAACTGCAAAAGGCCACCTGACTTGGATCTGCGCGCATCATTTGAAAATACATCACACAGTCCTAGACGCTTGGGAAGGGTTCGACTTGTGATTTTGTGATATGAAATCCAGCATAGAGATCTCGTTTGCTGTGACATACTGTGCTTTTGTGTCAGTCAAATAATAATAATAATAATAAGGTAAAGGTAGTCCCCTGACATTAAGTCCAGTCATGTCTGACTCTGGGGTGTGGTGCTCATCTCCATTTCTAAGCCGAAGAGCCAGCGTTGTCCGTAGACACCTCCAAGGTCATGTGGCTGGCATGACTGCATGGAGCGCCGTTACCTTCCCGTTACCTACTCAAATTTGCATGTTTTCGAACTGCTAGGTTGGCAGAAGCTAGGGCTGACAGCGGAAGC